AGGATTGTGGTGGAGGTAGTGTGTCTGCGTCGTGGGCCATGTATGTGGAAGCCAGCCAAATAGACCTTCCGCCTGATTCTACTGCTATGATGACGTTGTCCGCATCGCTAAACTGTATCAAGATAAAAGCATTAATACACTTTTTTATCAATATGTACGACCTGGGTTTACCTTTGTCAGTTACATAGAACAGCTTATATCCTTTCATATTCAATCCACAAACCCGATCTTTTATGACCCAAGGCTCCTGGATGAGTGCGATCTCCTCTTCTCTTTCGGCGAGACGGAGGAGAAGTGCGGCTGAGCCCGCCTTGCAGTGGTGGAGATTAATCTGAACTATCCCCACCATCAGTTTCGCGTGCTGCTGCTGGACAGCCAACCACAGTCTGCTTGACGTCCTCTTCGTCAGAAAGGGGGAGGATATCCTCCCCTTCTCCTTCCACCATGGTGTCGGTAAAGTCGGAGTGGTCCCCCGCCCCCTCTTCAAGAGTCTCGAAGAGTTCGCCTACCATTCCGGAGGTGGATGCCACTTCGTCGTCAGTAGCATTTTCCGCTGCGTTCGCTTCGTCGGTAGGGTGTTGTTTCCCTGACACGTCCTGCCGATAAACGTGGAGGTTCAAGGCTTGGAAGCCATAATTTATCCTCCAGTTTTGGTTGGCTAGCGGTTCTACTGATTGCTCGTTGAGGACTATTACCGCTAACCTTCGCTTGCAATCGATATCGCCTATCTTTGCTACCTTCCAGTCGTGAGTAGGTACCTCGGGGTTGCCCATGCGTATCCATTCCAGCACTTCCTGTGGGTCCGTGTGGAAGTCTGGAATCCAGGCCCTGAATCTGGGCCGATTGGGAATGTCTTCCCGCTTTATCACCTCAAGGCGTGCACCCGGCCAGACCTCGCCTACGCGACTGATGACCAGGGTGTATAGGTCGACGGATCTCTGGTTCGCGCACCTTGTCAGTTTGACGCGGTTTTGGAACCAACCGGCGTCCGCACAACTGGGGGGTGGTCCTGGGTTTCCCCCTAGAACCTCCTTATAGACGGCCCAGAGTAGCCTGTTGACCAGGTCCCAGTTCTGTGGTGATATTGCACCACCAAGTGAGCTGCGGTCTATCACAGCCCTGGTAAATGTGTCCTTCGCCGCGTCCGCGAAGGATCTTTTCTGCAGCTCGTCCGCTGTTAAAATGGCGGATACCCTTGTTCTCTTGGGTTCCGAGCTTAGCTCCCTAGAGGACTTCCGCTTGCCTTGAGCAGAATCTTGTTTGGCTTTCGCCTGGTGTTCAGCCATAAACTTTTCGGCCCAATTTCTTGAGTCCAGCTCTTCTGCGGTCAGTTCTTCTGGCTTCTTATCCCTCAGTCTCTCCAGGATTCTGAGGGCTGACCGTCTGGTACGATAGTACCTTTCTGATGCACTAATGTGCTTCTGGGGATGGCTACTGCCCATCGCTACATTAGTGCCAGAATGGCGCACCTCAGAGGCCGCTGGCTTAGCCATGCGGTCTGATGTCGCCGACGCCGCTTTAGGGATTGCACCTGTCGATGTTCCCTTGCCTCTTGGAGTGGCGGGGACGACAGCAGGGCTAGCTTCCCTTCTGACGGGGCTGCCCTTGCCTCCCGAAGACCTATCTGCGAGGGTGGGTCTGCTACCAGCACCGGACGGATTTACATCCTCGCTACCTTGTCTAGGGACATGGCTAGACCGGTTGCCGGAAGGGGGCCTCGATGCCTTTGAGGCAGTCCCAGAGGGGACAGAGCGTATGCTCAGCCCTGGCTTGGCCACAGACTTTGCACCGCTGGCTTGCTTGGTCTTGTCCGAGGACAGACCGGACCTTCCTGACTGGGTGGGTCTACTTTTTTTGGGGGGTTCTCGGTTATCCGAGGCGGGTTTTTTGTTGTGGTTCATTTTTTTCATAAACGTCCGCACTGCTGGACGTGGCGAGCGTAGCGGGCTACGTATTTAGGGAGGGGAGGGGGGGAGAAGGGTCGACCACAGCGGTCCCCTCCGCCGTGGCAAGGTTATTCTACCTCCTGAGGTGACCCGGTATCAGGAGAGCGCCGTTAGAATACAGCCGGATACCCCTGGCTGCAAACCATCCAATAGGCACGGTGACGCATAACACCCTGGATTAGGGGAGAAAGGATAGGGAAAGATGGGAGAGAAGGGTTGGGTAGGACGAGCGTGGGGGAATCGTCGGTACGGTCCTCTCCGTATGTATAATTGGAGGAACACGACGCCCACAGTTACGCAGACGGGTGGTCAACCAATCTCCATACGGAGCTTCCCTCTTGGTTCGTGCTGTTTTGAAGCCCCCCGAAGGAAGATTTAAACCACCACTTAAGCCTCATCCCCAAGGCAAGGGGACCAACACGATGAGGACCCTTCATGTATATATGTTGCAAAAAAGCATAGCAAAATAAATGCGACCCTGTGCTAGATGTTTTGTTGTTGGAATTGCTACATATTTCTC